AGGATGAATCGCATGAAATCCTGTGCGTGTCACCCCAAATGGCTACGCATGTCAGCACTGACATGCGTGTCATAGGTTCGCCATCACTGATTTAGTGTGTACTACAGCAGTCTAATCAGGGAATTAAAGCTGGGACTAGTAATGGGAGCTCACTCCGTTATGTGGCACTAGGGATTCAAACCACCGACTGCCAACCTTTCTGATCGACAAGCTCAGCGTCTTAGCCACTGCATCCCTATAAATATACTTGATAAGCAAGGTTATTATCAATAAATTATATTAATATATTGGTAACATAATAAGTAAGCAAAAAAATAAGCTCTGCCTACAGAGTATAATAGCAAGCCTTTCCTAAGGCTAAATTTAATAGTAGTTATTTTTAATAATTAAAAAAAAGCAAAAGAAAAGAAATAAAATGTGCTTTATCTAAAAAACAGAAGTCTATATGATTCTAATAACTGCTATTGATACCGGTCAGGTCTAATTATCTCGCTTGTTTTATTTCAGTTTAAATTAGTAGTAGTAACTTAAGTTAGTAGTAGTTCTTCCAGTAGTAGTAGTAATATCTTTGGTTTATTTATTTTTTTCTAATATAAATCTCACAGCTCAATCTAGATGGGGATCCTTACATTGGAAGGGCTTTAATGTTTTGGTTCTTGCTGCAGCCCTAGTTGGAATTAGTTTCAAGAGATCACTACTGGAGGTATAAATAGCAGGCCATAAATAGTCAATTTGGAACAGGATCCTCAGGAGGTCAAACTATAAATCAGTGGTTTTTAAAGTGGGGGTAATTTGGAGCATATCCTGGGGGTAATGGAGCAATTTGTAATTGCTTGTTTGTGAGTCAAGGATCCAGTTTGGGGCAGCTATTTCTGAGGTGCTGAGGAGTAAAACAACAGAATCTGTCTTTGTGAAGGTAATGACATTATTTGAACTGGGGAAAAAGGATAATTGGATCAAACTGTTTAAAAACCAATGCTACAAATCCTTCATATCCCCACCCTCGGGTCTGAATCTAGATTCCAGGGTAGCAACATTACTGCATGAGATGCTTGCCTCTCTGGCTAAGTTGGTGGCAAGGATTCCCTAATGGTGCCAGAGGACTCCAACTTGCCTTCTCTGGGACTGCTGTTGTTGGAGGCTGAACAATCAGCTTTTTTGATCAAGTATCCCATTCCAGGGGAGATCGTACTTTGGATCTAGGTTTCATCTAGCTTAGATGCTGACTTCTTCTATTAGTGATCTCTCTCTCTAGAAGCTGATGATCCTTATACAATGGATTAGCTCCAAGGTGCAGTTTTGCCTACAAATATGTATTTTGCTTAGAAAGCCCCCCTGTAGTGCTAGGAATACACTACTACTTTTGTGTTGGAAGCACATACAACAGAGGTGAGTTCCTACAGGTTCACACCGGTTCGGTGAAACTGGTAGTTGAAATGACAACTGGGTCTCCGAACTGGTAGGGACGGCATGCTCCCCATGCCCCTGAACCGGTTCCCCAGTCACCGTGACATCTTTTTTTGACCTTTTAAAATGTTCTGCACCCGTGCAGGCTTATTTATAGGTAACTGTGGATGCACGCGGAGCAAAATTGCACAAACACCCAACCGGCAATAATGCTGGCAGAAACCCACCTCTGTCATACAAGGCGCTTCTGGGTTGGACAGTGGATTAAGTGGGGGACATCATTATTGCCTAGAGGGGCTCTTGAGGAGGTTGAGGGGGCTCTTTTCATGTCCCTGGTATTTTCCCTATTATCTACTTGTGTTTTCATGCTTTCGAACTGCTAGGTGAGCAGGAATGAACAGGAAATAAGGCAAATTGACAGGAGCTCATTCTGTCATGCAGCTCACTGCCAGGTTTTGAACTGCTAAGCTGCTGACCTCTCAATGGTCATTTGACTTAGTGTCCTAACCACACAAGCCATCACAGTCCCTGGATAGGGATACAAAGCTAGAGATACAAGTGAAGCCTTAAATGTGAATGTAGCTTCACTTGTATCCCTTGGCTAGGGATACAAGTGAAGCCACATTCAAGAAATGTATGTTGCTTAGAATTTTCATGACGTAAAGGTGTTTTTAACTGGACTGCTCTCTGGCAACAAATTTCTATTTCTAAATTAACTTCAACTTTTAAACCCTTGACTTGTTTTCTAGAGGGAAAAAAATCACAAACTTAAAGGAAAATACTGATAAACAGTGGCAAAGAGTCATGTATTAAAACACAATGTTTTATTGTCACATATTCTATGTATTGTACCTATGAGGCTAAGGAGGATGGCAGTTCTGGCTGCATTTGTCCTTTCCTATGCCAAAATCAGCTTAGACTAATATTAAATATGTTTTTCTGTTTCATTTCCTTCTGTCTGAAATCTAGTATGGATCTTTAAAAATGTAACATATTCCACAATAACTGGCCTGATAGGATCTGATGATGTACTGAAAAAGTTGAGCATTGAAACAATACAGCATGTTGCTGAAAACCAATCTGCTCTTTTTGTTTCTAATTTCCATTTTCCTCTTTAATAGCTTTTCCACTTACTTTTGCAGATGTGCAAACAGTATTTTCATGGTGTCATAGTTTGGCCTGGGCAATCTCTGTACAAGGTCCTTTATGGCTTTCACTTGGCTATCATGTTCTTGGATTTCTGAAAGAAGTAAAAAGTTATGGGTGTTACAACAGTATCTGACTGTCAAGAGCAGGGGTCGGCAAACATAAATACTCAAAGAGCCATTTGGACTTGTTTCCCACAGAAAAGAAAACACCGGGAGCCACAAAGGTCCTAACCAGAAGCTGACCGGAAGTTCACTTCCCCCACCACAGAGTCTCCTCCTAGCATGGCATAGTTTTTCCTCTACCTGTCAAAACCAAAAGCCCTATCAATTGTGGAGACAACTGGAAAACCCTCCCCTTGCCATAGAGTCTGCTCCTGGTGCACTGTGCTTCTCTCCCCCCCGCACCGGAAGCTTCTCTCAAAATTGTGGTACTGACCGGTGACGGAGCCGCAGCAGAGTGAGGAAAGAGCCACATGCAGCTCCAGAGCCGCAGTTTGCTGACCTCTGGTCTAGAGTGTTGCTGCTACCATGGTTTAAACAGACAAATGTGACCTGGAAGCATGGTTACAGCTGAAGTGCCCCATTTTAAATATTATTTTCCAATAGAGTGTCTTCACATTTTCATAAATGACAACTCCAAGTGCAAGGAGATTTTTAAGTTCTCTGACTCATTACAGCCTCCTGAAGCTCCTGTCTTCAGGGTACCCTTCAGGTTGGAGAATGGGAACTTTTGAATGTCGTTGGAGATGTAGCAGTGTATTGTAGCTCAGAATGATGCTGTTATCTCTGATAAAACAAGCTGAGATCCATGAAAGCCGAGACATTATCATGGGGTGCAATTAACATTATAAGACTTGGTGGTTTTTGCTATAGGTGACATACAGAGCTGGCCCTTGGAAGATTGGTCTGAGGTAGCAAAGGCCGAGGTGTGACCTGTTATGCCAGAAACTCATTTCATGAATTTCTTGAGGAAATACTTTTTTAGCTCTCAGTGGGCTACCATGACTTAAAGGAATGGGAAAGTATTAGCTGATCTCTTTCATCTCATTGAAAATGCAGGCACTTTTTCTGATTCTGGAAGATCCAGATTATTTGCAAAACATGAACAATTCCTAATATGTGGAGTCCTTGATGCTTTATGATGTTACCTAGTCAGGCAATGAAATGTCTGCAAGCAAACAACCAACTCAGAGAGCACCAAGGACTCTACAATTCAACTCTGAGCTATATATATTCTGTTCTATTGAAATTCCTCATTTATCATTCAACTTAGAAAAATAATACACAATTATCTATATGTGTGCATAATCTACCCACCCATTAGGTCTTCTCCCATCCAAATATAATTAGCAGGAAAGTATTTGATTGTGTTAACAAGAACGTAATATTAAGTCATTTCCCTGCTCATTACCGACCATATCTTCTATTGATATACAATTAAGTCATACCCTCACTAAGTTTTAATTGAGACATTGGACAGATTTTATCAGCTATTCATGGTGTAAACTATTTAGTTTTTAACTTTACATGTTATATGATAGGTTATGGTGGAGAAAACTATTGCACCTTTCAATCGTACCTCATAAAGGTATTTCATCAACCATGGATCCATGAGACATTAGAGGCCTTAGTCTCAAGGTACCGAGTTAATATCACTTCAGACTGCCATGACTGATAATTTCCATAATTGACTACTATTTGATTGATAGATCAGAGAAACTACTATTGTTTTCTTCTCCAAGACATGCATTTTACATGGAAGTTTCACATAGAAGTAAAGCAAATGTGTCTTCAATAGGATGTAGTGTGGTTACTATGCAGATTTATGACCGACCTCAGTAGAACTTAGGCCAGGGAGGTTATCCTCATACCTAATAAACATGCCTATCTTATAAGCTTTATTTCATGCTCTGTAATGATCAATTCTTCCTTGTGTTGATTTTCTTAGTTCACATCCTGTCCCTTGCCTGGTATCCTTTCTACCATTTCATAACTGCCTTTTTTGTGGAAAACAATTAGTCAGTAATGAAAGAATGTGAGATGGAGACCTATAATCGCTTTTGTGATGTAAAACTCCTTTTAATGTTGTGATAACAACATTGCTGCTGACTGGCTTAGGATAAGCATATTTTCTATATGATTAATGGCTTCCGAGTCTTAAAATATGGTTTCTGAGTAAGATATTTGCATGAGATGTTGAAGCACACATAACTGTGCTTTCATTGTGCAAAAGATAAGATAAAATAAATGTTCAAGGTCCCTGACATAGGGAAACAGTTTTACATGCTGCAGGTTTTAGATAACCTGGATCTTGGGACTGTGACTTTATCTAGCAAAGGTTTTTAATTTTAAAAACATTCTTCTAATTGCTTAGTTCTACTCTGGAAATATTTGGAGAGTTCCAATATGGAAGAGATATTTTCTTACCACAGAAATACTATAAACTGGAATACTTCTGTTGACTTTGCCTCAGCCCTGGGATTAGAATATAGTTATATTACTGCATAATAATTTGGCATAAAGTTAAACAAAATGAAAAAGGGCCATATATGAAAGACAGAATATCAGGAAATAACATGAATCTGTAAGGATGGGGTGAGGAAGACTAAGAGATAAAATGAGCAAGGTTTACAATAAATTTCCCCAAATAATGAACAAACAAACGAAAACTTTATTGGGGTACGTGTGGATAAGTCTAGGAAACTTCTTGATTGGAAAAAGTTGCATGATGGTGATGGACAACAGGGAATTACAATAGCTAAATTTTACACCTGTCATTTCCCAAAAGGGGAAAAAATGGACAACTGATCAATCTGAAGGTGTACGGTAGGGGACGTAAGAGAATTACAGGTCAAATAGGAAACGGTAGGAAAACATCTAGATGCTCTGAATGAATTTGTTGCCTGGACCACATGGATTACAGGATGCTAAAGGAATTTGCAGGTGTAATCTCAAAACCACAGACGTTTATCTTTGAAAACTCCTGGACCACAAGGTGTCAACAGATTGGAGAAAAACAAGGATCTCCCACTGTTTAAAAAAGAGAGAAAAAAATCAAACCCAGGAAATGTAGAATAATCATCTTGACATGAATATTGGGGAAAATCATACAAAAGATTAAAAAAAGAGCTAAGTTTCAAACACCTAGAAAAGAGCAAGTCAGTTCTGAGTTGGGCTTATATGACATCAGAGGTGAGAGTTACATACTGTAACAATTGGTTCACCCCAAATGCAAAAATGTGAGTATGTGCGCCACACGCACATGGCAGCAAACACACAGCGATTATATAGGACGGGATAGTGCTGGGGTGGTGGGCAAGCCAGCCGCTGGTCAGAACTACTTGTTTGCCTGAACCAGTCCGAACCGGCAGCAGCCCACCTCTGCATAATATGATTCCAAAAACCGGGAAGTACAAGGTAAGTCTAACTAGGTCTTACACACTCTTACATGGTAAGATAATGTTTGAGTTTAAGATTTTTTTCTCCCCTTATATTTCTTAGTGAAGGAATTGTCAAGCACAAAGTATCAGCGGACTTCCTGGGAGGAGCCTACTGGTGAAGGCAGCAAAAAANTTTAACGAACTGCAAATTATTAGTGGAAAAGTAGTCTCAGAAGTATGGTACATCTGAAATATTTTTTGTCACTTGAACATGTGCAGTCCAGAGCCAGCTTCATTCTCCCATTCTAAGGGAACAATCATTTCACATTCACAGATGCTCCTAATTTGGTGTGGTTTGGAGTATAATTTAGATCAAACATAGCCATGTAAATGAGTCAAGGTTTTCTTAATTAGGTGCCTCCAAAGAAAAAAAAATCTGGGACCACATCAGTAGGTGTGGGTGTGGTACCCACAATTCTGGAGTTTTTCCTATGACCAGAGCTTAGTGCTGCTTAGGCATATCATCAACATTTTTCCCCTTCAGATTCTCAGGCACAATAATAAATCTGTATGTGGCATAGACATCAAGACGCTGCTTCGGAGAAGCTGCCTAAGAACACCGTCTCTTTGGCAGATGCTGTAAAGGAGATCATTGTGCTGTGATTTAGGTCTCTTTCCATTTTCTACTTTATTGCCAGTGGTTTGTTTCCTCTACAAGGAGAGTGCATTCCAGCTAAGACTTCTTAACTTTCAGACAAATATAAAGATTTGTAACTATTCATTAAAAAAAAAGTTCACGTCTTGCCTGAGAATTTTGAAACTTATATGAATTATGGGGAAAAAACTGTTGGCTGAGAAAAATAAAGTTGTTTGTCTTACTTCTGTATCTTGATCCTTTGTTAAGTAAAAAAAAGTGTTAAGATGCAATTGCTTTCTCTCCTCCAAGAAAGTCTAGTAATTTTGGTGCCCCTATATGACAGAGATCACTTGATACAAAACATTTGCTAGATAATCATATTTTAATACAACAAGATACACAAGCTGGAGACAATGAGACCTCACATATTTATCAAGACAACTCTATACAGCTTGTGTGTGTATGTAGGTGGGATTTTGCTCCAGATTTGAGATCAATGGATTGAAGCCATAGTTGACCTCAGTGGGAACAGTACTGTTGTCTGTGTTGATCCTGGAAGTGACTCTTGCATAGATGAGATTTATAACAAAATCGTTGACTTTAAGATAGTTTCAAGAATATCTTCAGTGCAGAGAAAAATAAATATATATAAAATATGAGTTATCCTCTTAGGCTTTGATGGAGAAGGGAAACTCTATTTTCATGAAGAAATTCATACAACATTTTGCTCGGTTGTTTGATTAAAAGATAATATCATATCAGTATTTTGTGAATCCTGAGCATTGGGGAATTTGGATTCTGTGGTTCTTTCAGTGATTCTACTGCTTAATTGCAGGATCTGTTGGATTTGCACTGTGCTTGTCTAGTTCTTATAAGAAAAATCAATGCAAAATGTGATGAGGGGTTCTAGCAATGATCATATGAGTGCATCTCACACTAAAGCTTGATTTAGATTTGTCTGCAAATACGCATAGGCATCATTTCATACCAGAGGTGGTATTCAGCAGGTTCCGACCAGTTCTGGAGAACTGGTAATGGAAATTTTGAGTAGTTCAGAGAACTGGTAAATACCACC